GCTTCCCATCCAGACTCCAGCCAGGGTCCGGGCGCACATTTCCATTTTACGCCCTCTGTTAATCATTTTTTTTATCTAAAGCCCTAACCCAGCGCTGCACGATACACCGTGACGGGAGGATGGAACTGTCCCATACCTGCACCGTCCAATGTAGCGGCCACCCGCCACAGGTGCTGTTAAAGCACCTGAAACGTGGCCAGTGTGACTGAAGAACTGGATTTTAAATTTTATTTGATTTTAACTAATTTAAATAGTCACTTGGGTTTTGAGGCCACCATATAGGACAACGCAGCCTAGACTCTCTAAGCTAAAAGGGGCCTTTGAGATTACTGAGTCCACCGATCTCATTTTACAGAGGAAGAAGCTAGGTCAAGGGCTTTGGAGCAGGAAAAAGGTATTCAATGCCCAGCCCCGCCAGTCAGCACAGGGGCGATTTTAGGTTAAGCTACATTAAAGCTTTGGCCTCAGTTTCATCGTCTATAAAATGGGTCTAATGATACCTGCATCCCCATCTTGTGATGGCAAACAGAGCGCCTGCTCCTTAACCAGCAGCTGTTCCTGTCCCCTCCCCCTTGCACAACCCTGGAGGTGCCACTCACATTGTATTCTAGATGAACAGGGCTCCTGGACTTGTGTAATATGGTGGCCTTGACCAGGGTCGGTCCCTCTCAGGTCCCAGTTCCCAGATGTGGTCTCGGCCAGGCTCTTCATCACAGGGGACCAGGGCCCGGTGGGGGCCGGGGCGAGGGAGGGCATCGGCTTAGCCCACGTGGGTAGGCGGTGTCCCCAGGCACGCTGCATGGAGCATCTGAGGGGGCTGACCCTTCTCAACTGGATGTGCCCACCCCTCGAAAGCCCAGGCTGGCCCTGCTGCGGTTCTGGTTACAGGGGCAGGGCGAGGGGTGCTGGCCAAGGGCAAGTCAGGCCTGTGACCACTGACCGTCAGGGGCTCTCCATTTTGCTCCTCAAAGGGGTGCACAGTGCGGAGGACCCATCTGGATGCTGGGTTTCCCTTTGTTCCCCGATTCAGGCCGCTTGGTTTGGGGCAGTTCCCATGAGGACATGTGTGGACTCAGAAAGACAATGAAAGCATTCACGTCTCCAGACTAACAGTGTTGATAAAAATATGCTTTCTTCTGTGTGGCAAATCACAGCACGGGGAGAACTCACAGGGCGGGGGCACAGGAGGGGATCTCCTGGGCGAAGCACCCAAGTCAAGGATGCAGGTTGGAGAAACAGGACCCAACCACGATCCTCTCCCTTTGGCGAGTGCCCACACCCCCTGCCAGGCCACGTGATCTGGGCACTATTGTGTTGTGCCGGAAGGAGTGCTTACCCAAGCGGGTGCGCCCATGTCCTCTACGGGCTTTCTTCAAACTGCAACCCCAAGGTTCTCTCTCCCGCCTCCCCCCGCCACAGGGGGACTCGTCCCTGGGGAAGCGAACATGGTTTGCAAAGAGATTCAAAAGATACTTTAGAATCAGAGGGACTTCCATTAGGCCGTATTCTATCCCCAAATCGAGAAATAAATCACATGCCACTATTTGCCCCAGGGAAAAAGTAAGAAGTGAGTCAGCTCTGTCTACATTGGTGTCGAAGCCAAAGTGAAGAGTCTGCTGTGTGGGAGGCAGGCGTTTGGCAAGACAGATTTTCTGACAAGAAAAGAAAACCCTGAGAGGTATTTGTTTTAGAGCCCACGTGGGAGTCTTGGGCGACGTTGACTTCCGCCTCTAAACGGTTCCCTCAGAGAAGACAGCCCACGGCTGTGCCTGTGTGGCAGGTGGGCTAGATGGTTTCTGGCGAGTGAAGGGGCCAGGTGAGCAGCCCCCTTGGGAAGAGCCATTGCCATTTATCTTGAGAAGACTGAGGCCAGCGGTCGGCTGAGGGGTGTGGATAAAGGCCTCTTGTCCTGCTGTGGGAAGGAACACTACATCTGTGATCGCTGCTGTGCCCACTGCTGTGACTCAAGGTGCTACAGCCCACTGTGCCATGTCTCTAATGACACACAGTCTCTTCTGTCTCTATGGAGTGGTAGGAATACCATTTGAGTTTAGGTGTGGGCATGACAAAGAGGCGTGGTGAACATATGGTGGGAAAGCAGGTATCTCGTATCCAGAGCTTCCCAATGAAAAAGGAGACAGCAGAGCTCAGCAGCCCAGGCTCTAGTCCCGGCCCCGCCGCTTAGCGCCGGTGGCTCAGACTAGCAAGGCCTCAGTTTACTCCTCTGTAAAATGGGGGTAACATAGGATGTGCTCACGTGGCTCGAATGAAATAATGTGTGAACACCTGTTCATGTAAAGTCTATTCAAGGAAGGTCGTGTGTGAGCCCTGTAGATCTTTGGGAATCCCCTATCATTGCTATTATGACTCAAGTTTTCTGTGAGGACTCTGAACCTCTTTGTTGGTGGGGTTTGCATCAGAACTTCAGTTACTGTGACAAGCTGCCGCTGGCTGATGTGAATAGGACCCCCTGGGAGGGAGCCTCCTCTGTGCCAGGAGGAGCAGGACGGGGCCAGAGAAGGCCTTCTGGCCCCCGACACAGGAGGAGCCAGGCAGCCCCAGGTGCCGCGAGAGGCCAGATGTTGGTGGGTGAGTTCAGACAGCGGAGGAGAAGCAAGACGATGCTGTCTGGCTGTGTGGGGGAGGGAAGGGGAGACAGCGCCTGTGAAGTGAGGGCCTGCCTTGTGGGGCACAGGGTGCCTGTGGATCAGAGCAGGCGGGTCAGCGCTACACGGACAGCTGCTGTTGTCCGGGCCTGGAGGCCAGCTGACCGAAACGTGGTGAGGTTCATCTCGTAACTCGTAGGGATATCTTGGCTACAGTGACCTTGATTTTGAAATGTGAAAATAAGGTAATATGGACAAGAACAATAGCTGTCACTTAGGGGATGACCCCTGCATACCCTTAAGTGACCAATCCACTTGTCATTTAGTCATCGCTCTCTAGACATACGATCACTGTTCTAGTCCTCAAGCTTGCTCAGTCCCTTCCTGCTCAGGGCCTCCGTGCATGCTGTTCCTTTTGTGGGATGCTCTTCCTCCCACTGTGCCCATGTTTGCTGTTTTCGGGCCTTAGTTTCAGGCCACTTCCTAGGGAAGGCTTTCCCTGACTCCCCCGACGACCAGACTTGTACCTGCCCCAGTGCTCTCTCCCCTCCATCCTCTTGGCTCCTCTTGACAACAATGGTTGGTCTTGTGCCCCTGTGTTCCTCTGTGGCTTTCGTGTTCAGGGTGTGTCCCCTCACTAGGTTATGGGGTTATGGTGGAGGCCCCAGTACCTGTGGGAACCCGTGTCTCTGCAGCCTCCAGCACAGCACTCTGCGTACAGTAGGAGCTCACTATGAACTATGTTGGCTACGCCAGAAATCCTCAGAGCCACCCTTTGGGGAAGGTCTTATTATTCCCATTTTACAGAGAGGAATTAAACTGTTGCTCAAGGTCATAGTGAAGGGCAAATGCAGACTTCCACCCCAAGAAGTGCAAGAAGCAGAGCCCAAGACCCCTAGACTTGCCTCTGACCCCAAGTCTGGGGTCCTGCAGGGGGTCCTGCAGGGGCTCCCACCTCCTAGAGGCCCCCAAACGCGACTCTTTCAGTTTGCAGAAAACACACGAGAAAGACTCCTCAAATGCAGAGTGCCACCCTGTCTCAGCCTGAACGCGGGAACGGCAGGTCTGAGTGAGTGAACTATCTGAATGACAGGCTATTTGAAGGCCACGTGCCCCCTTCACTGCCAGAGGGGCCCCTCCCTTCTCTGAATTACAATTCCACTTCCAGACTCAACTTTTCAACTGCGCCTACTGTGAACTGTCTCATATGCCGCCTGCTTTGATAACCAGATTGTAAGGTCCTGGAGGGGCAGGGACTGAACCTTCTATTTATTTGTTTTCCTTGGTGCCGAGCACACAGCAGCAGTAAGATAAGCTGACAGCGTGTTGCCAAGGGAAGGTTCTGCCAATAAACCAATGAAGTTAAGTCTCTGATAAAGCCATAAAGAGACGCCTCGTCACGCCCACGCACCTGGCGACCGGTGCGACCTGCGGAGAGCCTCTGCAGGCGAGGCTCCTGGCCATCGCTTCTGGAACTGCGTGTCCACCAGGTGGCTGCTCCGCACGCCCTGTTTTCACTCTGCTCAGGTAGGGGACGGATGTCGCAGGCACCCAGGAGGAGCGGGGTAAACACTGGGCATTGCTTTCCCCCCGCCTGACTTTCCAGATCTAAGTCGCACCTGTGTGGCACCCTCGCCCTGGCACCTGTGCCCTGACTGCTGGCACTGCAGCGGACAGAGCGCATGTCCCGCCAGCCGGCCCGCTGGCTCTTTGCTCCGAGTCTCCGCTTGGAGGGCCCACCCCGCGGGCGCAGCCTCGGTCTCTCGCTGTGCTCCGCAGGCTCTCTGCCCGGCCCACTGACACAAATGACCAGGGTCTTACAGGCATGGGGACTCTTCTGCCGACACGAGTAGGCCCAGACCCCTGGGTCACAGGAGGGCCACCGTCCTCTGGAATTCCACCCTTGGCTTAATTTCAGGGTGACAGACAAGAACGTTGGTCTGTACCACGACTTCCCGACTACGCCTTCATTTGATCATTTTGATGACTCAGATGACAGTGGCAACTCTCTTGTCATCACTTTTCCGTTTCGGAAAAGCAAGCCATCTCCCTGAAAAAGCCATTTTTTTCCCTCTCACAGGACTTAGTACAACTCTGTCTACAATGAACCAAAAAGTGCCCATTGACATGTATATTTTTCCTAAATTGGTCTCTGTGTCAAAGCCCGCCCCCGTATTCTTCAACAGTCTGTCCACATTCATTCTTCCTCCTCTCTCACCCTCCTGCCCCCGACTCTCACACACTTTCACAGTTTCCCCCTCTGCCCCCCTGCCCTCCAGGAGCCTTTACCCTGCCCGGTGGGCACATGAGTCAACCACAGATGGTGAAGTGGGCTATCCCCATCTCTACGGGCAGAGCACGCAGGACACCTGAGTTTACCGCTTGGAGACTCACCCAGAGGCCGCTGGAGGCTGTGGTCCCCGCGTCAGCAGCCTTCGCGCTGCAGCTCTGGGGCCGTGGCCACTCTGGCTCTTCTTCCACTTGCTGCTCACATTTGCTCTTCTGTTTTCTGATGATCTGGAGAAGTGGTGGGTGACGAAGGGGACGAGTTACTGGCGAGGCCTCTGGAAGCCATGTGGAGTAATGGGGACAACTTTTGGGATTTTTCTTTCAGCTGTTAAGAGCTTAGTTTCAATAGAACGCTAGCCTGTTTCAGATCTACCTTAGGATAAAACAGCACGACTTGAGCATTCCACTGCACTTTACAGTTTACGGTGATCATTTTATGATGTTAACAACATCTTTCTATTTATTATGTGCCTACAACGTACCAGACTCTGGGCCAGGCACTGTAGATACTTAACCTCATTTAATCTTCAAAATACTGCTAAGAGCTGCATACAGTAACTGGTCTCCATTTTACAGATGAGGAAACAGGGTCAGAGTGGTTACGTTGTCAGTTAAGGATGCACAGCTCATGAATAATGTGGCTGAATTGCAAACCAGAGTCTCTGGCTATAATTCTTGATTCTAGGAAGCGTCAGGAAAGCCTGTGAAGGGGGAAGATGTCAGAAGTCATCAGGGCGGGCTTCAACTTGCTTGTAGCACTTGCTGTTTTGGGCCTGGCTGTGTGGATTTAATGAGTCTATTTCTACAATGGCCTCTGGACTCTCAACTTCCTCCAGGCAGGAAGCAGCTGAGAAAGCTGCCAAGCCACCAAGATGGGCATATTCTTCAATGTCTTTTTAGACCAGACAGGAGGAGGAGGAGAAAGGCAGAGAGCCAAGGAGAGCAGTGAACTAGGGTGCCATTCCCAGGGACAGACCTGGGCCTGATCAAGGCACACCCGCTACCCAGAGAGGGGGCCTGGCACAGGCCCAGCAGGATTTTGGAACTGCTGTGGACCAGTCGCCTCCCATCTTTGCAGGAAGATGGGGTCATGCTGCTTCCCCCTCCATATTCCAGCATTGCGTGTAGGGTGTGTGGGGACAGGTGACTTGTGTGCTTAGTTCATAGGTCTCCCTCTTAAAAGGAACACAGCCTGAATCGAATGCACTTTGAACTGTTAATTGAATGAGACTTTGGGGGTCTTTGCATGGGTGAGTGTATGTGGCATGTGGAAGGGACATGAATTATTGTGACCAAAAGGGAAGACTGAATTTGTTCAATGCTCCCTGGATATAGTCTTGTGTTGTATACTCTGCCTTCTTCCCAGGACAGGGAGAGTAGACAGTTTACCCCTGAACAGCACAGGTTTGAACTGCAGGGGTCTATTCAATGCAGATTTTAAAAATCCACGTATACGTGAATCCATGCAGTTCAAACCCACATTGTTCAAGTGTCTACCATATTTTTCTTACTGCAGTTGGGAATCTGCACATGTGGAGGGCTGATTTCAGGTCTATGTGGGTCAAGGGTCAAATGTACTTCCCACCCTTGGCTTTGCGTTGGCCGTGTGCCTGGCTTTAGCCAATGATGTGGGAGGACGGAACAGGGAACAGGGTGTCAGGGCTGAGCCTAGGCCTTAGTAGACGTCACTGGCTTCCCCGAGCTTCCTGTGCTGTCACGGCCATGAGTGGCCGAAATGCCCTCAATCGGCCTCAGAGTGGACATGCTACACAGGCTTGATACCAACCCACTGCTTTAGACGGAGCCACTGCAGATGCATGAGCAAGAAGGAAACTATCGTATAATAAAAAAATATATTTGCTGTTTGATTTCTGGGAAAGAGCTTCAAAAGTCCTTGAGCTAGTTTGCGTGACTGGAGTGTCTTGCTGTGCTAATGAGGTGGCTTGTGCCAAGGTCACTAGATGGGTGGAGGCTGGTGGCTAAAACCACCAACCAGATTGAGAAAGACAAATACTGTATGATTTCACTTACATGTGGAATCTTTAAAAAAAAAAATTAAACAAATAAAGCAAGCAGAAACATATTCGTAGGTACAGAGAACAGACGAATGGTTGCCAGAGGGGAGGGAGGTCAGGGCGCTGGGTGGAAAAGGTGAAGGGATTAAGAAGTAGACATGGTTAGTTACCAAATAGTCATGGGGATGTAAAATACAGAATAGGGAATCGCGTTATTAATATTCTAATAACTATGTATGGTGTCAAATGGGTAGTGAACTTACTGGGGTGACCACTTTGTAACTTATATAAATGTCTAATCATCATGTTATACACCTGAAACTAACATAATCCTAGTGTACATCAACAATAATTGTAAATAACTTTTAAAAACCCAAGCATGTAAACCAAGGAACTTGAAGCTCCACCCCAATCTCTGGGGAGGGGACAGGGACTAAAGACTGAGTTCATTCAGGCGGTCAATGATTTAACAAATTATGCCCACTTGAGGGCACCTCTATTAAAAACTCAGAGACACTGAGACTTGGGGGCTTCCTGGTACATACACTGATGTGTCGGAGGGTGGTGGGCACAGGGAATGCGCAGAAGATTCCTACACTCATTCCACAGACCTTGTGGTCATATAGTCTCTTCAACTGGCTGTTCATTTGTACCTTTTACAATAAGCAGGTAGTTGTAAGTGTAGCACTTTCCTAACTTCTGTGAGTTGTTCTAGCAAATTATCCAACTGCGGGGGTGGGGGAGGGTCCTGGGAATCCCTGAATTTGTAGTGGGCTTGACAGAGGTAGGTACCTTGGGACCCCGAGACTTGCACTGGCATCTGAAGGGGGCAGTCTTGTGGGACTGAGCCCTTAACGTGTGGGATCTGGGCTAACTCTGACTAGCATCAGAACTGAATGGAACTGTAGGGGTTGGAGAATTGGCTGGGAAACAGAAACAATCCTGTATAAAGCCACAGAGTTTTGGGGTGGTTGATTTCTAAATAGTCATTACTGATATGGCATGCAAGGGACACTGGGTATGTAGGTAGCAAGCAGTGACTGCAAGGCTTCTTTAGCAAGACACCATTTGAGAAGAATGAGAAGAGGACACATGCATGCACACACATACACATGCACACACACAAAGCCTAGGGACAGGGTGCCAGTAAGTAACCAGCTCAGCATTGAGTTTCTGGCTCCCCACTCACTAGCTTAATCCCTAAAGGCAGCCACTCTGCACCCCTTGTCTTAGATTTTAAAGTTCCTCTGAATGAACCCCCAGAGCATAGAAGACAAAGTGGCAAAGCACAGAAACAGTGCCCAAGACAACCACGGGGGCAGTTCTTTCTCTCCAGCTTACCGGGGGCTCTGTTCTGGGCCAGGATGGTAAGCTGCTGCCATAGGATCCCAGGGCCACCTACCTTCTGCAAGATGGTTGTGGCCAGTTCCTCAGTGAGCTCTTCTTTGTGGTCCCGCAAGTAACTGGCCTCATTCTGCTTGTCCTGCGGAGGGAGGGAAGAGAATGGCTGCGCACTGGGGCGGGCTTGGGGCACTTGGTGATCACTTTCCCAGGAGTCCGGACCGCAAATGCAGGGGGAGGTTGGGCACGGCTCCAGTCAAGGGTGGCTGTCATGAAACTGGTGTCCTGACACGCGGTACTTTGTTCTAGCAGCCAGGACCCTGACCCGCACCTCCCCCAGGAGGAGAAGGGGGTCCATACCAGGCTGTCCCCATAGGCTTCTGCTTTGGAAATCGCCTCCTCGATGGCCTCTTCGGCCACGCGCAGGGCAACAGCCAGAGTGTCCATCATGCTGTGTCCTAGACGGGGAACAGAACAGAGACCCCTTTCTGAAAGGGAAATAAAATGACTGCTCCACCGTAAGCTCTTCTTTTAAAAAAAAATTTTTTTATCCTCATCCGAGGACATTTTTTTCATCGGTTTTAGAGAGAGAAGAAGGGGGAGAGAAACAGAGGGAGAGAAACACTGATGCAAAAGAGAGAAGCATCAATCGGTTGGTTACTTCCCATACGCACCCAGGATTGAACCCGCCACTTAGGTATGTGCCCTGACCGGGAATTGATCACTCAAGCTTTTGGTTATGGGACAATACTCCAACCAGCTAAGTCACTGGGCCAACGCCGTAAGCTCTTCTGCTTAGATTTCTGGGGTACGTTCCACACTGTTCCGTGGTTCACAAGCCCCTTCTCACCTGCCTCGCTGCTTCCCACCACCCTGCCTTGGACACAAATCACTGTGAATCCTGGAGAGCTGCCCTCTCTCTGTTCATGACACCATTATTTTGTCCCTCCTCACTCTGCTCTCCTGCTTTGTAACTGAGCTGGTTCCCGGGCCCCCCAACCCTTGGCCCACAGGTTCCTCCTCGGAAAAACCTTCTCAGATCCATCTAGTCCCTGCCTTGGCTGGATGTCCATCTGAGGTTCTAGGGTGGCTTCCCTGGGAGCCAGAAAGCCTCCACCCCCTCGCGCAGGTCGCTGTCTCTCACAACTTGATCACGGTCACTGTTGTGCCCTAACACGGAGCACAGTTCCAAACACGCAAGCAAAAGGACTTAATATAACAGTTCTTCACCTACTTTCTCAGAGAAAAGTTCTATGTTCTTTTGTGCCTATACTGTATCATTATGATGATGGGGATGAAAATTATTAAATGTTCAAAGGGCCCGGGGCTGTACATACGGTTTAATGCATATACAGAAGCCACGAAAGAATGTTTTAGATCCTAAACCAATACTATCAACAATAACCCTGGCTGATCCCACGCTGGGTCCCAGGCTGAGCCCCACATGCATAATGACAGTTAATTCTTACAACAATCCATTGAGTAGGTACAACTTTCCAGACGTGAGAACGGAAGGACAGAGAGCTCAAGTAACTTTCCCAGGGTGGCACAATGAAATAGGAAGAGAGCTGAGTTTTGAATCTGGGCTTTTCCATTTCTGAAGCCCACGGTTTTAACCACAGAGCGGGATAAACACAAGCCACCATGATTTAAAAATACTATCATATTTTTAGTGAACATATTTTTTTTCGCATATGGCAACAAATGGGAGGACATGCTGTCTCCAAGACAAAGGAATTCTGCAGGTGACAAAAACATCTTTGAAGCTGAGAGCTTGGAAGAGTCCTGTTTCCCCAAAATAACTTAGATTTCTGCTTCTTACCGAGAGTGAAGATTTCTCTCATTCCTCTTACTTCACCCCAGAAACCCAAGGCATATCAGGTTCAAGCACATCGGTCTATGAGGGCTGCATAGTGTGGGCCTCCTTCCCCCCATGTTCAACCTCCTGTTTTCATTTATAATCTCCAAGTCATGCATTACTTCACAAATGCAAAATGCCCTGAAAGCTGCCTCAAATTCTTCATAGAATGAGACAAGGTGTAAATAAATACATCATTCATTAATTCATCAAATCAATTCCTCAATTATAAAACATAATTCAAGCTTCTTAGTCTCCTGAAGACACAAATGTGGACAGAATGGGACACGTGGCAAACAAAATCTCCAGAACCGACTCTGTTAAGGGCAAAGTGATGTGGCCAGCAGACGAGTACGTCAGCCCCACGGCTGATTGGACGCACAGTTCTCCCAAAGTTTCTCTAAGGAGAGGCTAGAAAACTTAAGTTGTTACCACACTAAGTGTTCCGTGGAGACAGACATTGTATTTCCTTCTCTTTTTTCCAGATACGCATCGATGTATTTTTCACAGAAGAGGTGCCCCACCTATTCTCGTTGAGTCAAAGTTTACCAGTGACCTCCCGAGAGCTAGGGCCTTTGAGGGCCCCCAGTGAGGAGGCCCCAGGGGATAAGCTGAGTCCCCACTCTGTCTTTCTTTCTGGGTGGTCAGGTGCAAAAGGAACTGCTAAGAGGTGTGCAGTAGACCCTGGGATAGGGATGGTTACCAAGGTCCACAGGATCCTGCAAAGTCAGGGCCTGGAGCCATAACCAAAAAGGCTCCGGGTGCCATGTTTATAACTTTGGGATGGGAGTGACACGGAGTGATGTTCTGGCTGAAAATGAAGGCCCGGGGTGGTGTTTGTAGGTGGGGGCGTAAAGGGAGGGTAAGAAGTCAGAGTGACCGAAGGTCAGAGCGCCAGGTAGATGGTGGAATGATTAGTTTTATGTGCCACCTTGGCTAGGCTATCGTACCCAGTTACTTAAACGCTAATCTCAGTGTTGCTCTGAAGGTATATTTTAGATGTGGTTAACATCTAAAAACCGTTGACTTCAGTAAAAGAGATGACCCTCGAAGATGTGGGAGGGCCTCATCCAATCAGCGGAAAGGCCTTAAGAGCAAAAAAAGCCAGGTTTCCCAGAGAAGAAATCCTGCCTCAAGAAAGAAGCATCAACTCCTGCCCGAGTTGCCTGCCTGCCTGCTGACCTACTCAGTAGATTTTAGGCTTGCCAATCCCCACAGCTGTGAGCCAAGTCCTGGAAATAAAATAAATATGCACGCATGTGTATGTGCACTCTATTGGTTCTGTTGTTCTCTGGAGACCCTGACTGATACAGAGGGCCACTGAAATATTAATGTAGGAAAGCTGTGGGCAGGGAGGTACTGAAGCTATGGGTCTCACAATAGAAAGAAAAGGATCAAAGTAGAAAAGGAGCCAATAGGAACTTGGTGATAGGAACTTGGCAGGGAGGGGGCTGAGACAGAATTCTTGCAGGTGGACCTCAGTGGCTAAGGAGCTGGATTAGAACATGCTGAGGTCAAAGTCCCCGGAGGATCTGCGGGACCTGACAGCTAAGCATTAGAAATCAGAGCCTAGAACTCTGGGCTGAACTCAATGCTGGGCATTTCAGGCTCAGCAGTAAACAGAGGTGCACTGAGGGCCTATCACGGTGTGTGGCAGCCCATGGAGAAATTTCAGGCAGAAAGGATGAGAGAGGACAGGCTCTTCATGAGAAGGCACCCACACAGTAGAACAGAGAATGCGCAGAAGAGCGGGGATAGGGACGGGCAGGGCACAGGCCCTGGCCCCCAAGGCTCAACGCTTTGGAGAAGGCTAAAGTGTTGGAGGAGGCTTTATTTGAAACTAGGAAATTGGTATTTTTTTAACCTATGGTCTAAGGAAACTATTACATTGGCATAAAAAGTAGAAGTTAATCAGCGAGTGATACCTTCTTGATAAAATATATTTTAATATGAATTGCGTACGTCTTTTACTTTTTATATTCCAATTCCAGAGCACCCAGTAGTTGATCATGAAGTATCTAGTGGTTGGGCATTGAATGCGCTTCTCTAGGTCATGCCTTGGATTCACTCATCTTTTTTGATGATGGACTCATACAAATGGCAACAATAGGAAGACCCTGGAGACTCCCACAGGGCAACGCAGAGTTGTATCAAGTGGTTACAATGCAACTGGCAGACTCTGACAGTATCTGAAGGTGTTTCTATTCCTCTAACCTCCTATTAGCTGTAAATTCTTAAGGAACCTTACCTTCCGACTGCCTGTAAAAGGTTGAATCACTGCCCGAAACGCTTCCTTCATTCTCCAGGTTTGTTTCAAAAAAGCTTCCTCCTGTGGGATGGCAGGGAGGGAGAATGAATGAATTTGATAATGAAAGGTCTTCAGCGAGCAGGGAGGCACTGAATTGTCAGACCACCATTACCCACTGCAGGTCAGCCCTGCAAACAGGTTAGGGAATCGCTGGGTCACAAAACAATGCTACACTTTTTGACCAGTCACATTTTCCCTCTCTCACGGGTTCCTGGTACAGCATTGCCACCACCCCAACTTTCTTGCAGTACCTATCTTGGAGGCAGTGCGGAGTCAAAGACGGAAAGAGAGATTGGATTCAGAGAGACGGGAGGCCAGTTCCCGGACCTGCAAGCTATTGGTCATGTGACCCCAAGCCAGCTCCTTAACCTGCCTGACACTTGGCTTCCTTACTAGAAAAAGAGGACTGACAAGCGCTCTCCTCGCGGTGGGTGATGAGTCTTGTGTGGCTGATCACTCGCTGAGCTGTAGTCCCTGGCACTGATCCGAACAGTTCCCCTGAGCTAATAATTTAACTGTCATCGTTTTCTTCTGCAGAAGCAAACCCAGAGAGAGACAAGGCAAGTAATGGTGTTTGATTCGGAAGGCCCACTGCCTCTCCTCTCGCCTTCTTTTACTAGATCGCACAACCCAGGTCTTAGTTCGAGTCTGAGACGAGCAGCGGGCCAAGCCCTTTTTAAGTTGGGGATTTTTATGATATGTGTTCGCAGCCAATGAGAACTCTGAAGATAAGGATGGTAGATTTTTTTTTTAAATCATTGTATTGTATCCCCAGTACCTAAGATAGCACCCAGAGAGCAGGTGGCTCAAAAAAAATTATTGAATTGAATGCTAGTGGAAAGCACTGTTTGACAGAACCAAGAACGCACATATAGGTCTATATTCCTTAGCTTAACAGGGGCAAATGCCATTGGTGCCAAGTCAAAGCAATAGGCCTTCAGGACGTACAGCACACCCGTGCTTTCTTGGGTGGGCTGTCATGGGGGTTGCCCTGCAGGAACTCTAAGTGTAAGAGGGTTATTTGCAGCGGGTTAGTAGGCCCCTCCCTGAATGGACTAGGCTGTGAGTGTGCAGCCTATCATGGTAACTCAGCCTGACCATATACCATGACGTCAGCTTTCCAGAGGGAAAGCAATGGGACTGTCCTGGAAAGCCCTGACCCAGCAGCCAGACGACAGTAAGTCGTACCGTTCATGCATTGGAGGAAACTCTCATTTCATGTGGCTCAGCCTTCTCAGAAGCCCATGTCTGTCTGTCAGATCCCAGAAGAAAGACGTAATGGACCTTTTCAAGGATCATGCCAGAAACAGAGTATAGTGTTAATAAATAAAAGCAGTGGTTATTTTTCCTATTTTATTTATCCAGTACTAAATATAAGCATATCAATTATTTTTCCAGTCATCTGGGGATTAAGTATATTACTAATGGCTACTTTTGTCTTCTCATGTAGTGCTTCTTTTTAGGATAACTGTTATAAATGTCATGCTGAATCCATCAGATAAACCATGGGAACCTCATTCCCACTGGACATTGCATTGTTAAAATTTATTTACTCATTTACCTGACTTCTCCCCTGGAAGGTTGGCTCTGAGATGGCTGGATCCTGCCTGTCTTATCCCTCCCATGTCTTAAACCAGGTGGGCACATAGTAGGTATTCAGTGTTTACTGATGGGATCAGTAAACCTTAGATATATCTGATTCAATTGATGGGTCTCCGTTTAGGCCTAACCTTGGGAGGGACTGATGGCCATACAAGGTGTGTATATGATAGGTGACCCACAAGATTCTGTGAATTGAGTGAATTTTCAGTGGACTGTTTTTATGGCAGACTATACAGGTCCATGCAGTGGAGGTGCTTCCTAGGTAAAGGAGTTTTGCACTGAGAGCTCTGGAGCATAGCACAGGCTTTGCCCAAGGTAGATGTTCCCTGTTACATTCTGACAATCAGAATTCTGAAAATAAGGACCCCTAGATGGCCTGAAGATAGAACCATTCATTCAGGATTCTCCTGGACAAATTATAGGGAAGTTGGCCGTGTCTTCGTATAACCCGGAGAGCTTTAAACAGCGTCTGTAACTGGGCCCCCCTCCAGAGATTCAGAAGTGATTGACCAGGCATGGAAGGTGCTCTGGGCCCTGGGATTTTTTTCAGAGCTCCCTAGGTGATTCTGACGCATAGCCAGTACTGAGGATGGCAGGTGACAACCATACACGGGTGTTGGCTGGCAGGTAGGAGACAATGGTAATGACTCTCTATCATCTAACATAACCAGGAGGCCATGTAAGCGTGCGAGGTGGAACTGAATTTTCTACATGGCGGGTAGAATAAATCTCATTGTTTTATGATCGTGGCTTGACAGGCTTGAGAACCATTCATAAAGTGTCTCCTGTCTGCTTGTCTTCATGTTTATTAAAGGGAAACCATCAATAAAGGGGAGATATAAATCATATTAAAGCAATGAATTCTAGTACTTCTAGCAAGTGTCTTGGTTGATTGACTGAGTTGGTGCAACGTGGAGAACATAATCCACACCAGGCAGCGAGCCCTGGTTCGGGAGCACTGAAGTAAAGGTCAGCGGGAGAGCGGTTTTGTCAGTCATCACTGGAATGCAGTGTGGTAGGTAGCACCTGTGACCGAGCCCCCGATGGAAGAAGTGGTGAGCTACAGAGCGCCTGGGACCTGCATCTGCTTCAATTCTGACACATAGTTATTCCCAGGAGTTGATTCTCTTTTGAAAATGACACTGGAGGATTTCAAAGGCCTGAGCGAGCCCACTTGGGATTCATGTTCGTTTGCTCTACCAGCGGGGTCATGAGGAGAAAGGGAAAGAAATCGGAATTGTGTTCTGTCCTACAAAGTCTCCATGTGGGTTTGTTTTCCCCTCCATTTGCATTAAGCAGTAGAGAGTGCCCATGAGATTTGAATGTGGGGACATGTAAAGGGGTCCCCACAAAGCAGACTAGAGGAGGTACGAGAGAGGAAAGAAGAGATGGGGTGCAAATGAGTGAGTCAATTCTATTCTGGAAGTTTCCTGAGAAATATTTTTGGGTTGAAAAACTAGTGTTAACACCATTACTTTTAATTTTTCTTTTCTGCCTCTATTCCTAGAGAAAAATCTTTAGAAAAACCCATAAAAAGAAGATAAAAATAATACGTGGCAACCTTGGGCGCTGCTCTCTTAGCTATAGGCTTCCTGAGCATTTTGAAAGACAGAGATTCTAACAACTACCACAAAAGGCGCTAATGATTCTCTGTTTAAAGCTTCCACCCTATTTTCTCCCTTGCTTTCAGTGGCTGGAGTATTTTTAGATAAGACACAACTGAAGACTTAATGGAGAATACAAAATAATGATGGCGAAAAAGCTCCAAATGAGATGCAGGAGATTTTTCTCTCCCCTCTTTCTTGTGGATTAAAAAAAAAAAAAATTACCTGTGTCAACAAAGGGATGAAAAAACCTGCCTCTGCCTCTAGACAGGAAAAAAAAATAGCCCTTTTTTTTTTTTTTTGAAGGACATGCTTTTCATATTCTGACAGCAATTTCTTTCTCCTGGCTGGTGTGCTAGAACCACAGCATATAATTTCTCATTCTAATTATGTGCGTTGGTTGTTTTTACTCTATAAAACAGTGTAGGCAGGATGCATCTTTCGAGCTTCCTGGACGAAGCAGACAGCTTTCTCACCCTCCCCTGACGTCAGTCCCGGGCCCGGTAGAAAGACAATTCTGGAGTAGGCAGAAGGGAAGCGGAGGGCGCATCTTCTGAGGGCAGCCCTAGTCTACACAGCCAACCAGCGATGATTTTCCAATGTCTTAATTGTTACAGAAACATAGTCAAGAATCTTTCATTTCTAAGGACCCAGAATTAAAATGTCCACAATTTGCAGAAATACTTTGGTTCTCCCAGCTCCTGGGTAATATACCCAGCCCAGAGCAGATGTGGGAACCAAAAGACTCAAAACTTAACAGAAGTTTTGGTATATGTCCTATTTCTGCACCTCCCTATGGCTGGGTATTTAAGGAGCTTCCTCTGTCCAAGGTGAGTGTACCTCAGCACACGGGGCCTCCAAGCAGGGCCTTCTTCTATCCCACAAGCCCCCAAGGACTCCCAGAGCAAGAGGCAGCCCGCGTACCTAGGACGTCGAAACATGCTCCGCTCTCCAGCCGGTGCTTCCTGTACAGGTTTTTCAGGACCTTGGCGCTGCCAAAGCGCTTGAAACGACTCTTCACATTATTGTAGAACCACTCCAGAGACTGGGTTCTCAGAAGCCTGAAGGAAACACAGAATTATAAAATGGGACACTGGGCTTTCAAAATAGGATTATCGAATGGTGGATCGCAAAGGCTGCCACCACACTTCGTAGCTCCTTTCATGAAGACGTGTGTTCATTTCTCTGTGTCTCGACTCTGAGCTGGCCGACTTGCTCTGACCCTAGAGAGGACTAGGAGGGTGTTGTGCGAGTCTCGAGCCTTGCGGTTTCCTCCTTTGCTGCTCTTGGCAGCAAGCCCAAGCTAGCCTTTGGGATGATGAGAGACACTTGACCCAATCCCCCCTACTGCCCCTGCTGGTACACAGCCAACCCCCGGAGGGGGCGGGTAAGAGAGGCCATCCACTGCCAATTGACTGGAGATGCCAGAGTGACCCTAGGTAAGACCAGCAGAAGAACCGCGCCCCTGAGTCCATCTCAAGAGCAAGCTTATACATGCTTGCCACGTGAAGTCACTGACTGGTATGCCTGTTTAATAGCAGGCTTTATGTTAGATACTGTTGCCGCATTAGCAACATTTCTCATTTATCTTGGAGAAATAAAAAGCACAAGTGAGATAAATGCTGTATGGCAAAATTCTCCAGCCTCTTATTTGTTCAGCTGAATGCACTGAGAAAGCAGCGTCCTGGTCAGAGCTGTAACAGTCGGTACAAAACCCTGACATGCTTCATCTCTCTTCTGGCTGAGAAGGACATATTTCTAAATCCTCCTCACTTTATGAAGAGCTTTTGTTGTTACTTTTCTTATTATGAATGTAATAATGTGTACTCACTTTAGAAGATTTGGAAAAGCAACACTAATATGAATGCTGCTAATTCAGTGAAGGAGAAGCACATGTGCCTGACTGTCCTCCCCAGATGCCAGTGACATGTGGGAAGACAGCCAGCAGGCAAGGAATCTATAGAAAGGAGAAAGAGGACGAGAGCAGGCTGAGGGATGCAGACAGATTTCTGGGAAACTGAAAGTGACAGAGAGAGCGTCATTCTGCGAATCAGACAGAAGAGCCAAGACTCGTAGACGGAGAGGTCCCGGGGTGAAGGGGGTGGTCGGTGGGTGCAGAGAGCAGGCCTGGGGGATGCGACGGTTTTCAGAAAGCTACTTTGATGGTTATGGAGGCAACTGTGAGGCCTCTTGGCTCCCGTCCGCAAACAACTGGACGATCGGCCCAAGGCTGCTGTGTCCTGGGTCAAGAACACAGAGCAGTTCTCTAAAACTGCACCGTCTACTTGGGGAAGACCAGGACTTCGATACGAGAGTTACCATCTTACAGCGAATCCTTTCGTTTCCGGCTCTGGGGGAGTCCCCGCGTGCCTGCCCACCAGATCCTATCCATGTACCCCAAAGCCAAGGCTTCTAGTCGCCTGCCTGGCATACAAACCAGAGCTGCCTGCACAAATGCCAACCCCTCTGGGAGGCCTTCCCTGGCCACCCTACAATACCACCACCATGCTGACACCGCTCCTCTCCCCTTACTCTCCTTTTCTCTCCCCATACTTTTATAGGTGCATCTCTGTACCTCATATTCTGCTGCACAATTCACTGTTCAAAAGATAATCAATACATTACTGTGCTAATGAACAATTGCTTGTTAAATTGCTTATTATCTATTTCCTCTTTCCAATAGAACACGTATACCATATGTGTGTTTATATAGAGAGATTTCACCAGTATCTTAATAAGAACAAATGCGATTTTTTGAGTGCTTGCTCTGTCCGAGGCGCTGTGCCAACAGCGTTCCCTGAGTTGATTTAACTCTCACGGAGTACAGCGCTGGGGCAGGCCCATGCGTGCTGGGGCAGGCTGGGACTGGCCCGGGCTCTGGCGTTTACTGCCTGTGTGATCTTGAACAAATCAATCAATCCCTTGAAGGCTTATCTTCTTCATCTATAAAATAGGGAGGATGACAGTGACCACCTTATAAAGCTGTTTGAGAATGAAATGATTCAACACAAGCAATAAGGTTCCTGGCACCACGCAGGGGCTCTGTAGGTTCTTATAATGACTCTGAAAGGATGAGTCCCATTTTTATAGGTGATAATAGCAATGTAGTGAGGTCACGTGCTTTTTGCCCAAAGGAGCAAGTGACTGAGAGGGATCAAAAGCGGGAGCTCAACCACGCGCATGTGAATAGCAGCTGGCTCTCTTCAGTGTATCTTCCGAGCGCATTTTATTACAATAAGCATTTGTCATTAAAAAACAAAACAAAACAAACAAACAACCCAGGAAGCTGTTTTCAGAATTTAGAATAATACAATAGAAAAGAAAAAAAAATACAGAAGACTTTGTCCTTGGCGACCATAACCTCTGGGCTTATGATTTATGTCACTGCTTTAAGAGCATAAAAGAAAAGCAATTCTAGAAGAGAGATGTTCTCCGGGCTGCCTCCCCCGCACACAGCCCTGCTCTCAGGGCCGCTGACCTCCAGGAAGGGCCTGCTGGGGGCTCCGCTCTACAGCTCAGAGGGTCCGATTGGGGCTGGTGGGGTCGGGTGTTCTTGTCTCCCTCATCCTTTTGACAAAAGGATGTATATATTTTTTATTTTGGGATACTGTCCCCTCTTCCCCAGCTGGGTCTGCTTCGTTCTGGAAAGGCTGGCCCCAGCCCTGACAGCCATGGGCGGTCAGTCACATGACACTGCCCTGCCAATCAGGGTCCAGGCGGGAGCTTTCCCTATTGTTGGGAAGAGGGGCTCCCTCTCTGCTGGGCTGGCTCTGTTGCGGAATGAAAGCCGGGGGCTCCCAGGGCCATCTTTGCCATCACTCTGTGGTTTTCTGAGCAAAAGCAGGTTTGATGGCGGGAAGGGACGGAATCCTACTGATAGACTTTGAACACCCGGATCTACTCAAGCCCCAGGTCAACCCTTGGACTTTTTCATGACATAAGCCAATAAATTCCCCCTTTTGCTTAGAGCTTTTGGAGTTGGGTTTCTACTACAGTATTTGCAACCAAGTCCTAATAGTCCAAGTTCATCATAGGACGAGCCCTCTGTTCCCTGGTTATACCCGAAACTTTCTGGCATTCGGAAGCACTTCGGTGTCCTCTAACACAGAATACCCCATCTTGCTCAGGTCACAGAGTGGAATGGAGGCACCCTGCTGGGGCCGCTGGGAGCAGGGAGGAAGGCACCGAATCCTTGGAGAATGACCAGCAAAACTATAGCCCATTTTGGACAGCAGAAAGCTTTCCCTAAGAAGTGGTGTGCTTTAGGTTATGTTTTGACTTAAAGTAAATGTGAGGAGCTTTGCTGGAAGCCCCAAGGAAGGCTCCGCCATGATGACCTCACTTGGTATTACCACTTTTATTTCACCCATTTTAACACTCATGGCTCAGAGGGCACTCAGAGGATGCAGGCGGTTCAGGGGGCAGAGGTATGGGGAGAGGGCTGTGAGGACGCCAGCACCAGGGGTGTGGGCTAGGTGTGCTGCAGAGCTGCCCAGCCTGCAACGCCCCCGCCCCACCACCCCCTCGGCCTCCAGCTTCCACCAGCAGACAGGACGTCAGGCAAGTGGAGAAGGAAAGAGCCTTGTGTCGGTGTCCTGCTGGAATGGAAGGTAGAGGGGACCCCTGTGTCTGCTCACAGACTCCCACATTGGCTCACTCATTCATTCTTTCACTCCTTCACTAGTCATTGAATGAGCTACGTGGCAGGTACCATGCTAGGGCCGTAGGGGGTGGAAAACAGATGAGGCCCCTACTCAACAGCACTGCTGGACTAATCTCTTCCATGAGTGAAGCACTCAGTTTCAGGAGGTACAGGGCCTGGCAAAGGACGGGGGAAAGCAGCTTCTGTCAAGCAGTCAGTGCCGCATTCTTCATCCGCAAGGGCTAATCTGCTCAGTTCGCAAAGCGGGACAGGGAAGAACATGTGTTTGGGAACTTCTAGGATGGCATCCAGGAACACACTCCGGGGTAAAGTTCTTTCTGGCAGATCCATTGCAACCCAAACAAAAGGTCAAGCTCCGTTTTTATAGCCACAGAGAATCAGGAGCCTGTTTTTCTTTCCTCTCTCTCTCTGATTCATCTCATTACTCGGTGTCACAATGTCTTCAGTGATTCCAGCTCAAGGCAGGCATCAGAAGAAACTCTCTAATCATTGTGTTCCTTCCCTAAAACATCCGACTTATCACATCGTGAATGCTAATCACTTCGAGGCACTTGTGTAAGCAGTTTTCTAATTTTTTTCTAAGACAGGAATAAATTTGTAAACATGACACATTCTCATGAGAAGAGAGACTAGAATCACATAACTCAACACAAGGACAGCACTAAAATTACAATCACATGAAAGCTTTGCCTAGGAATGCCAGGCTGGTTGTGGTTCATTAGACCAAAACAATACGATTGTGAGAAGGAAGGAACTGCCTACCTAAGAAGTGCTCAGATCTTGGCTGCTAGTGACTGAGCCAGGGGTCCCGAGGCCATCAGCCCAGCGTGGTAGGGCTCTGTGTGCACTGAGTTCCCTGTAGGTGAGCTTCTAGGAGATTCGGGAGATCTCTCTGCTTCCACTATGGTCCTCAGGCCAGCGGTGTGGGCACGTTCTGGAAGATTGAAGGACATGCACACTCCCAGCTTTCCAACCCTCCCCTTGATCAAGACCTGCCAATTCCCAACTGATAAGTATTTTCATCAAAGCTTCATAAGCGCTGGCCTAGTGAAATTAACTAGGTGTTTTCTGAGTCCTCATGATTTTTTTCTGTTAAATTTTGATCACGATTTATGTAGCTGGAACAAGAGATAGACTAGCTGGCTTTCTAAGGAAAAAGAAGTGGACAAGGTGATAAAAAGCTTTGAAGAGACGCTGGCCGGGTGGTTAATTGGTTGGAGTGTTGTCTCACACACCAAAAGGTTTTGGGTTCGATCCCTGGTCAGGGCGAGTATAGGAAGCAACCAATTGCTGTTTTTCTCTCACATCCATGTCTTTCTCTTCCTCTCTCATCTTTTCTCTCTCTCCATCCTTGTCTTCCTTTCTCTCTAAAATCAGTAAACATATCTTTGGGTAAGG